TGCATAGTGGAAAGTGAAAGAATCAGATGGAATTGAAAATGGTGTTACATGGGAAGTAAGCGGGGTTGTAGTCCGATTTCGCCCATTTTCACACTATGACATAGAAACATGAAAAGAACGTTATGCACCGAATTTGGTTGAAATCAGTTGAGCAGATCTCAAGATATGGGTTTTCACCTAAAAGTGGGCTGTGCCACGCCCACTGACTAATTTTGAACGCGGTTCCTATAAAGCCAATTTATACCATCTCAGAGATAAAATTCAATGTCTCTGGCGTGTTTAGTGCTTGGTTTATCGCGCTTTTAGTATTTTTTAACAGTACCATTATATGGGAATTGGGCGGAGTTGCCACCCGATTTAAACTATTTTACACTGTGGGTAGAGGTTCTAAAAAAAATTTGCTTCCAGTGAATTTTGTTATTATAACATTAGCGGTTTTAGGAGATATGCACATTAAACCTATTAGAGGCGGGACCACGCCCACTTTAAAAAAAAAAGTTTTAACTGCAGATGCCCCTCCCTAATGTGATCCTGTGTACCAAATAACAGTCTTGTATCTTATTGCGGAGCTTAGTTATGGCAAGTTATTTGGTTTTGATTAATTACGTTTTGTGGGCGTGGCAGTGGTCCGATTACGCCCATCTGCAATACCGGGGTACCCAAAAACATGTCTACCAAGTTTCATAAAGATATCTCAATTTTTACTCAAGTTAGAGCTTGCACGGACGAACAGGCGGACGGACGGACAGACAGTCACCCGGATTTCAACTCGTCTCTTCATCCTGATCATTTATATATATATAACCCTATATCTAACTCGATTAGTTTTAGGTGATACAAACAACCGTTAGGTGAACAAAACTATTATACCCTGTAGCAACAGGTTGCGAGAGTATAAAAAGGATACTTACTTCTTGACAAACAATCGTTAAACAAATTATTCCAAGATTATGAAAAACTTGTAAAAATATATAGTCAGAGCGACTAGTAGTATAATATTACACAAAAAAATTATTTTAAGAACTTACGCCCTTAAGAATTAAAAAATACGTTGAGTTTATGGTCTCATACTCAAAGAATAAAACCTCGAGCGGCTTATCAAACTTCGAATTATGAGCCGGCAGTGCATTCTTAAAATGAAAGGGTGTTGAGAGGAGGAAGAGTTAAGTTCGGATGTAACCGAACATTTTATACTCTTGCAAAGTCAAACTCGTTTTAGATTTCTTTGGGGATGTTGCCGCCTTGTTCTATGTTGACCAATATTTTCGGTAAAAAGTCAACATAGGCAATGGGGTCTACATATTCAGTACCTAGGGGCTTGAACAGTATTGGTTCAATTTAGATAATTTTTGGTCACAAGGTGGCATACTTTAAACGTATTATTCACGCAAAGTTTTACACCGATATAATAATTTTTGCTTGATTTGCATAGTGGAAAGTGAAAGAATCAGATGGAATTGAAAATGGTGTTATATGAGGAAATAGGCGTGGTTGTAGTCCGATTTCGCCCATTTTCGCATTATAACTTAGAAATATTAAAAGAATGCTATGTACCGAATTTGGTTGAAATTGGTTAAGCAGATCCCAAGATATGGGGTTTCACCTAAAAGTGGGCGGTGCCACGCCCACTGACTATTTTAAACGCGGTTGCTATAAAGTCATATCATACCATCCCAGATATAATTTTTAATGTTACTGGCGTGTTTAGCGCTTGATTTATCGCGATTTTAGTAGTTTTTAACAGTACCGTTATATGGGGAGTGGGCGGGGTTGTCAGCCGATTTCACTCATTTTCACACCGTCAATAGAGGTGCCAAAAACATTTACTCCCAGTGAATTTGGTTATTATAGCTTTAGCGGTTTAGGAGATATGCATATTAAAGCTATTAGGGGCGGGACCATGCCGACTTTAAAAAAAAAGTTAACTGCAGATGCCCCTAAAGCTGTAATTGAAGATTCGTCAATTAAGTTCGGTTTGGTAGAAATGGAAGATTTCTTCCACTTACTTTTATTTTTGTAATTTGTGCGTTAGTTCATAAGTTTTAGATCCTTTTGTATATATTCAATTCCTGTATTGGACTGTGAATGTATACTCTCATACATTTGGAACACTTGTAAATGAGTAACTGTTATGAAAGCAACTTCACTATCAAATGTGGCAATGCATACAGTTATGCTCGTTTGTGTCTGCGAGTGTGAGCAATTGCAAAGGCACAACTTGTGGCATCTCATAAAGGATATGAATGCAAGTATTGAAACAGTATATTGATACGAACCGAACTGAATAAATATTATACAGTTGCGAATGTGCATTTGACATTGTAAATATCCACAGAAATAATAAAATATCAATGAAAGCAAAAAACATGAAAAAACGTAAACATCGGTTGAACCGAAACTAATACCTTTCACAAATGAACAAGTTTCCGAACAAAAACTTGATTTTGATAAGCAGACATGCTATAATGATCCACTCTGAACAATTTCTTCGGATTTTGTACCGTTAAATGAAAATTGTTTCCATATACACACTTGATACCAAACATTCGGTTTGTATGGCAGCTATAAGCTATAGTGGTCCGATATCAGCGGTTCCGACAAATGAGCAGTTTCTTTGGGAGAATAGGATGAGTGCAAAATTTCAGATCGATATCGAGGGTACTGTGAGACTATTTCGCGCATATGCGAACACGGACATGGCTAACTCGATTCAGTTCGTCACCCTAATCATTTATATAACTATATATTTTATATCTGGTCTCGGACGTTTCCTTCTGGGTGTTTCAAACTTAGTATTAAACTTAATATACCCTGTTCAGGGTATAAAAAGAGAAAAAATTAAATATTAAACAAGCAGCAGCTGAGCTAGGAAGACGTCGCTCTGCATACCCACATATATGCTCGTGTGTGTGGACGAGTGCGGGTACAAGCGTATGTTTGGCTGTGAGCTGATGCGACTTGAGGAGTATATGCGCTGCCGCGTTTGCCAGGCGAGCAACAGCCAGTTCAAGTAGATGTAAATAGGGAAAGTTTTGCACTTGAGCGCCGATGACAGCATTGAGCTGTGGGGCCATAACGACAACAGCGTCAACAATTGTTGCTGCGGTTTCACTCAACATATTTCGAGCGTTTAGCATTTTGCCTGTCAAAAGGAAGTTATAGAATTTCAATTTGGATAGCTCGCTTACATCACTCAACGCCAGCGAACTGTGATGTTTTTACATTGCAAAATGAGTTTTCGCGCTATAATATCGTGCGTGGTATGTGCTTGTGTGGGTGCGTGCATGAACATCTCTGCGAAAATGATTGGACCAAGTGGTGTATTTTTACGCTATTGGAATATCAGAAAAATTGCTCTACTGTAATGTTGCAATGGGACAGCTGTCTTTTGTCTACACTAGCTTATTGCTATATGATCAATGCTCGTGTTTTAATGATCGTCATCAACACACGATGTACAATTCACGACGCGTTAGAAACATGGAACTAAAGGTTTTTCATCTTCGGTATAGATATGTGGATCCCATTAATTTTTGAAATATTATATAACAACAAAATGTAGCCAAGCAGATACTGATGGAAAGAAGAGTTGGAGTATATGGTTCTGCCTTAGAACATGCTCAATGGATTACATTCATATATTTATATATACCATAAATACATCGTAAGAAGTGTGATTCTTATTGTAGGACTGTCTGACCCATTGGGAGTACATTTTACATGCATGCCTGGAGTACTCGCGCTTTTTGGTGGGCTCAGCAGGGGTTGCTGGGGTGTATGAGCAACCTTCCATACCTGTAACCAAACACATACAAATGCGTGTATGTGTGTATGCGCCCGTGCACATCGAATATACTTAAAACTTGCTGCTGCATTCATACGCACACAGCCGCGCTGTATGGCGTGCATTAATGAAAGTTTCAATTTATTTGCTGAAAACATTAAATGAGTAATATACAAAAACATAAAATAAAGCTCATAAAAGCACTTTGATATGCGGCATGTGGAGATGGTGATGCCGATGTCGAAATGAGTTGGCCAATCGCTTTTATCAGCGTTGCAGGTTGGAAGTTTTTAAATGACGTTGGCACCAAATATGCAACTTTGCAATTCAGCAATACACAAGGCAGCGTCACAGTTCAGTGTAAGCGCTTTTGTTTAAAGAAAAATATATAGGACATTAAGTAGGTGCAGGCAGAGTTGATTACTTTTCGCTATTTTCACTCTTAACTCTTTACTTTCATTTGTTTTATTGCGAGCAAAATGAGAAATGAGTGAACGAGTGAACGAATGAATGACTAAAAGGGGCAAAGCGATAATATTTTATGCGCCTTCATTTGTAGTTATATGCACCCCGCCATTGTACATTGCAATGAAAGTCGGGCGCTTATAGGCCATCAAGACGAATGGTGAATTGTGAAATGTGAAATGCGAAATGAAAAATGTGCAAATGAAAAAGTGTAGTGCAAAAGTACCGTGATGAAAATGGAGTGCTGTGGAATTTATGTCAGCAGCGCAAAAGCAAAATTTAACAGCTTAATTGTTGCTGCATTGCTCGTAAGAGCCACTGCTGCATTATTAAGCGTGAAAAAAGCGGCGATTTGGTAAGTTCCAAATATTTGCATAGCGTTTAAAGGCACATTATGAGTAATGCCATTATCTAAAGGTATAGCTAAACGTAATTGCGGAAAAGAAGTATCAAAACTAATGACGAGCCACCACTAATTTGCAGTACTAAGCCCATAACGTTAACAAAAATTAAATAAAGACGGATGAAATTGTTTGAACAATGAGAGCATATTTCGGAATTAACGATTATTTCCGCAAAAACAATAAGTTTATGTGCGTAATTACTTAACACACTGTGGATACTCATTCATAGAGTATTTCTCCATTGTTTTTCATACAAAAATAGTACTTAGCTTTTCAAAAAACATAAAAACAACATTAAACTTTTAGCTAGCGTATTTTAATGATAAATCATTTTCAATCATACTTACAACTCAGTTTTCGTTTTTGTAATCGTCCAGACCGAGACTCTAAATCACTTTTGTAGATGTGATGGAAGGAAAAAAGGGAAGGAAAAAAGTTAGTCATTAAGTCAAATCAGGACTATACCAAATGTTCATCAATACCGAAAATAGATGTAAATTCTTCTACGTGGTTTTTAAGTAAAATAAGTAAGGAAGGGCTAAATTCAGGTGCAACCGAACATTTTTTACTCCTGCAACTTACAAAGATCAAAGCCGGTTAAATACCTTCAGGTCTTGTCAAAATATTATATTAAGAAATGTAGCGAAAATGTTTAACTTCATTGTTTGACGTAATGGTGAATGCAGTTCAAACAAATTTAGTAACATATTAACTGATTTTGAAGATCAGAGTTTTATTGCTATATTTAACTTCGCGTCAGCGAAAATTATACTAAAGTCATTGTGGGAATGAAAATAAAAGGGCTGATTGCATTAATTTTTGACATTTCTCAGATTACTTGAGAAATTATTTTCAAGCAATTTTATAAATATAAAATGGAATATCAGTTATATGTGAGATATATAATTGAAATTCTGGGAAAATGCTCTTTGGAAAATATATCCCTCAGTCCCCATATACCCCATATATCGGCCAATATGTGAGTTTTTTTAATTAAATTGAGTGAGCGTATTTTTCTCCTAACGTTGCATCTCTGTGCCTAAAATGCATAAAATGTGGTGAAAACTTTCCCAAGCCCTCATGTAACTAATATCAAAATTTTTAAATATCCGGTTGACTTTACTCCTTATGTATTGGTGATGGTATGTGAGGTACTTTAATGAGACTCATGGCTCATGGACTCATCTCGGCTGTTCTGTTAATAATATGAAGTAATGCCAAAAATAGATTGAATCGAGTCAATACTACCAATACCTTATAGATGGTAAGATTTCCAGACTTCCGGTTGGCTTTATATCGTATACTATATATTGGTTAATATGATAAGATATCTTACTAAAATTTCCTGAACGTGTTATATTAGATATATTCGTACTATAGTTTAATGTCCAAAATATGTGAAATTGGTGCACAAATTACCCAAACTCCTATATACTCCATATAATGGATTCAATAGTTCGTGCAATTAGCCCAGACATTTTTTGCCCCCAATATACCCTATATAATTATCAAACTAATTTATTCCATGACCTATAATATAAGTTAATAATATAATATTTGATTGTAATCTATTCACGATTTCGTTGAATTCTTTCACAACTTTTTTAAAATCAAGCTTTGCCTAAACCCAAAGGTATTTCCCCGGATTTGATTCTGGCAAGTTGCAAAGGTATGAAATCTTCGGTTACACCCGAACTAAGCGCTTCGTTATTTGTTTCACTTAGTTTTTAAGACAGATCTTACTGTCGCATTGAATTATTTAACTTAGAAATGTTGTCCCCGCTACATATTTGCTATCGTGTCAATCTCTCACATAATAGTGTTCTTTTATTAAGTAGGTTTGGCGAATGGTATTACTCACCAATATCTAGTAAAAATTCCCATTTTGCACGCAATTTCGTTGACTGAACATTTGTAACACTAGTCTCCGTGATAAAGCAAAGAGAAATGGGTGTAGCACATAAAAAAAATTTCGAATATTTAAACTCCTATGATACAATGGTCGGCCTCCAAGTATATTTCTTTCATAAATAAGCTTTTAAAAAAATACTTAGTCATTCGAGAGCGAATTGCGTCTTATAGGTATTTCCGTGTGTCAATATCATCATTATTATCTATCTTCGATTCGCCAAGCATTACTCTCCAAGAAATGAAAAAGGATACAATCTTCAAACAAATTGTTTTGGTAGGACCACTATACCATATAGCTGCCATACATACTGACCGACTGACACATAATTGTCACAGGATTGCACATGTGAAGTGAATTTTAGCTTCGGTGCAGCCGAAGTTAACGTTTTTTGGTTTTACCATAGATTAGGCAATTTGGTTCAATGTCAATTCAATTTCAATGTTCTCATAACGTCGCGTCAGTAAAATTTGGAAATGCCCGAAACTAGCCGGCAATCCGAATATCTTTACGAAATTAAGCGGACATGCTTCCATCATTGGTGGGATTTGGTGGAAAAATGTGTTCAAAACCGGCCAAGAAGTTTTCCCATATATTTACTATATTAGTAGAAACCCTCTTGCTGACTTTATCTCTTTGTTTTTTCTGTTTACAAGGACATATTAGCTACACTATTTATAGCTTGAGAACGGTTTAACCGATATGTCTGAAAATTGGTGGGGGGATAGCTTAGAACCAGGGGACGGACATAGGATACTTTTATCTCTTTACGTTAAAAGACAATACAATTCATAAACACAAAAACTATATTTCAAATCATAAGCATATGTTCAAAATTAATTTAAGAATCATTTGAATATTTAATTACTTCAAAACAAAAAAATAATAATATTAATAATAACAACACATACAAGTACATAGGTATGGTTATGGATTATACTGATTGTTATTACTGAACAAGGCAGTGTTTTTAGGACGCACCATGTGGAATCGGTAAGAAATCGCATTGATAGTTGCATCTACAAAGCGTTGCGGCTACTTTGCTACATTATGGGCGAACGACGCAGAGGCACTCATAACAAGCCAAACGCAACATCTAACATAAAAAAATAGCGGAATAGATGTAGTGTTGATAAAAAGTTCAATTATATATTGAGACTGGGGCATAACAGCTCACAAATCTTGTCGAAGCATTTTACAGAACAATGCAATATTTAAACGGCAACAATGAAGTTTTCGGTGGTGCTGTCTTATCACTGTTTACAATTTCAATACAATTTCTAAATATTGGGAGTGGTAGAATAGAACTGCAACCAAATACGCAGTGCATGAAGTAAAAATTTATTGTTTTGACCATAACTGGCTTTATTAGCGACCAAAAATGTAGAAGTTGATGAAATTAATTTTCAGTGACAACACTTGTTGGCAGGATCAAATGTATCTAATCGAAAAGAAGTAGTATCAATAATTTTCAAATTTGGAAGTATTCCATGGGTCATATATACAAGTTTATAATTAATGTAATGTAACCTTAGCCACCGCAACGCGTGGAAGGGATCCTTCAGTAGTGTAATAAATATTTAAGAGTATTCCGATTGACCACTCTGTGTGCATGAGTTCTTAGTTTCAGGACTGCGGAACATATGGCAAATCTGTTTTTTAGGGGATTAAGGCTTTAGAAAAGGGAAATACTTTAAATTATTACGGTATATTTGTTTTTGTCTAAGCGTCAGACATGCGACATGCTGCCTATTGGTGAGCTTACTCAAGTGTTATTCAATGACTTTTTTATTGAAGAAAATTAAATAATCATTGAAATACATATAAATAAGTACATGAAGACGTATAATAACTAAAGTCCACAAAACTACTTGCAAAGTCAGCAGCATTCATAGATTCGGACTGGATAGACAGACAGACACGTACGTATGAACAAATCGATGCTCACAATTGCTTGAAAGCGCTGCGAATTATTTTTACTTCACTGCATTTTAAAGATTTGTGCTTTTGCGAAATGTTCAAATAGCTTCTTGCTACAATTATCAATGATCCTTTATAAAAGTTATCTTATTCAATTCCCTTTCAAGTGAATACAATATTTCGCTTGCAGATCTCGGTGTGTTCCTTGTAAGGATAGTAAGAACTTGTGCTGCCAAAATAAATACGCGCGCTGGAAAATATCTGACAGTTAGCGATAGCGTGTGTATTATTGTTTGGCTTATATCTTCATTTTGTCGAATTGAGTTAGGATTGGCTACAGCACGAAAAATAATATTTCTTAGCGCTTGTGAGGCAACCGAGCCCGCCGAAGTGTGTTTAAAACTGAATACAAACCATAACTACTTGTAGTTCGGCTTAAGCTGAATAACTTCAATAAATGTGGTTCTTACCACAATTTTGAAAAAATATTTAATGTGAAAAGAATTCTATTATCAAGTAACACTATCGGACACGCATATTCTGTTCAAAGGAATCCATTTTCCTTCCCTTTGGCATATGTCCTTTGAACTTATAAATCACAAGGTCAGACAATTTTTAGTTATGAAACATCGAAACGTTCCATGTTTTGCATAAAATGAATTAACGAAAAACTGAAATTTAAACAACAATTATGATAAACTAACTCTTTTTAATTGAATATTGTATATAATAGTTTATCATGCTTTAAAAAAATATATATTAGGTAGTTTATAGATTTATCACTCATATGACAGGCACAACACTTTTACTTTTTTTCGATTTTTCATTATAACCTGGATAGGTTACTTCAAACCACTTACTTCAAAATTACAAACCAAACATTTTTTTGCCTGTTTGATGAAATTTTATGGAAGCTTCAAATTAAAATTTCCTTGAAGGGGGTAGCCGCGCAGTTGAAAGTTTTGAATAGGTAAAGTTAATGAGGAAGTTAAAATTGAATCCTTGAAAGAACATTTTATACTCTCGCAAGGTAAAGTTATATACGGAATTTTCGTATGTATTTTAATTTAAAGTAGGAAGTATTGCATCCATTATTTAAAATCACAGGCAAGAAGATAGACTATAATTAGAAAGAGATTTGTTACACATTGAGCGATAGATGCGGTATAAAGTCAACCGGAAGTTCGAAAATATTTATATTGGGTTGGCAACTAAGTAATTGCGAATTTTTAAAAAAAATCAAAGACAATTTTTTCATGGAATTAAATAACTTTATTCTGTAATGTATTGCCAATTTTGATCAATGAACTTTTGCCATCTTTCAGCCAGCATCATAATCCCACTTCATAAAACTTCTGGTTTTTATTAGCAAAAAACTGAATCAGGTACGATTTGACATCATCATTATTATTGAAATTTCTACCATTCAAGGAGTTTTGTAAAGATCGAAACAAAAAGTAATCCGATGGTGCAAGAGCAGGACTATATGATCCCACCAAACTGATAACAAAACCTTCTTTTGATGAATACCAGCTTTTGATGTAGTTTGAGCTGATTCACCAGGC